GCGGTCCGTCCCGAGTGACACCGTTTTAGTGATGACACCAATTAGAACGTTTTACATGTACTCATATTTTTCTTGAAATTTATGTATTATTCCCATACTTTTAATCAGTTGACACAATGTAAAGCTGAATTTTTGTCACCTAGTGTATTTAAAAAGAAAAGTTTGAAATTGATCTTTGACCCCACGTCGATGCAAAGAAAATATAAATAAATTTCTTTGAATTTAATTCAAGTTCACGTTTTAGTATCCTTGATAAATTGTGACTGACAGAAAGGTGCCATTAACCACTTAGACAATCAAAATATCTCCAAATATCCGAGATCACACAGTGGATCCGACTTGTCCAAAGTTTTTCTGTTATCTAAAAGTTCTATTCAATTCAACACATTAAATTCCTTCCATTTCTCGCTATTCTTTTACTACAATATTACTTCATCTTGCCGAAATTTCATCAATTAAAATAATTATTTCTTCATCAGCCAGATACGCTTTCTCCACTCTAATAATAAAACACTTCCCTACAAAAACGCATTCGTCACAGTTTCAGTCATGTTAATCATTCATTTTATTTAGTCATTATTTAATCATTTATTTAATCATTTATTTTATTTTGTGAAAGTTTCACTTTCACTCACCCAGTCCCACACCCTCCCACTTGCAAATACGTAATAATCATACTTAATATACGACTACGACTAAAGCAATAACTGCTTCATCTAGAACACTAGTCTGCATTCATACCTTTTTACGTTCATACATTCATCAACAAAATATCGCTTTCCAAACATTTCATATAGTATGAATAAGTGTACTCCCCTCTTGTATACTTAATACATTCACGCCTAAATGCAAATAAAATCCATATCCAAGTTACTTTTGTTAATAGAGTGGAGACAAATAACTAGAATTATTCTTAGATAAAAGCATTTTGCATTAAACAATTCTCGGAAGAATCAACGAAGTTCTCAGCTGTTCTACAGATATACGCAATTTTCTGAACTGATGAACTCAATCGTAGACGTCAGTCGTCATCCCGTGGTGGCGCGCAGCCAAACTATTGATGCACTCTCGAATCTATGATGCAACGCTAGGCCGTCCAGAAAAGTAATTATTTCGTGAATTTGTGAAGGTTTATAGTTGTAAATCATAGCCTATAGCACTCCTGACCTTCAAAAGAAGTTTCATACGTTTCATCGCTGTATGTCCAGTACAT